AGGAGGCCGTGGGGGGTTAAGGCACAGTGAGTGGCCACACGGCGCTCACAGTGGACAGTGGCGGTGGGCCCTCCACCCGCAGCCCACAGAGGTCTCTGGATGGTTCCTCTCTGCCAAGCCCCGCGCCCCGCGCACACTCCGCACCAGCCAACACGCAGAGGCGGACACTGGGGCTTGTGGAGGACGCATCCCGTCTGCCCACCTCACGTCTGTCTGTCTTGGAGCCCAAGCTGTGTGTCCAACCGCCACTGCTCCTCGGCAGGCTCAGCAGGGGACAAAAACAGCCACTAGGCTTGGGGACAAAGACGTCAGCACGCCCATGCGCAGGGAGACAGGCCAGGGGCATCTGGGCCCTGCTAGTGAGCAGTTCGGGGAGCGGGCGCTGTCCCTGGTGCTGAAAAGGTGCCGCGCGGATGGAAGGCCGGGAGGAGCACTGCCGCTGGCCAGCCGGGGAAGGCAGAGGGACGGGGCCCTGAGCGGGACCGAAGGAACCCCACCTTTTCGTGGGCAAGTCCGCGCGCCACCGTCCTGCGGACTGGCTCACGCAGCCCCCGCCCCGACTCTGCCCGTCGGTACAGCCAGACCTGCGACCAGTTCCGGAGAGCAGCCGACACCGGGCACGCCGCCCTTCTGCAGAGACACAATTCTGAGTCTTCAAGGACTGTTGCAGGCACAGATGCAACCCCACGTGCTCCGACCGAAGGTCTGGGAGAGAAACACGCGCCTATCACCCCAGACGGACACCCGGGTCCCTCCACTCCCCAGATGGACACCCGGGCCCCTCAGCTCCTCTCACTCCCAACTTCACTCAAGGAAAAAAGCAAAACATTTACATTTCAGCACACCAACCATGACTTCGTGACAGCGCACACACACGTGCATGTGCACGCCCACGCACGCCCACCACACCCACATGTGCACGCACGTGCACGCCCGCCCACGCCCACGCACGCACGTGTGTGCGGGCACACGCATGTCCGCATATGTCTACGCAAGCCTGCACACACGCACACACCCACACACGCATGCCCACACACACCCACACGCACGCCCCTGCACGCGCACGGCCAGCCCGTGAATCCATTCAGAGCGAGCGGGGGGGGGGGGGGGGCGCAGCGCTCCAGAGCAAGCACTCCCCCCACCTCGTGGGTCTTCTTGTCATTCCAGGTTGGCAACGCCCCGGAGCCTCTGCTGGCGGCCCCCTCGCAGGCTCGGCACAGCGCGTCACGGCGCATTCCCACAGGCCACTCTCGACGGCCGCCAGCGCCTCTGCTCTGAGAAGGAGCCGTCATCAATCTTGCCTAGCCTTGGAAAGGATCCGTCCCAGCGGGCCCCAAGAAAAACCCAACTCTCGAAGAGACGGAACCGGAGAGGAAAGCAAAGCGTTGAAACGCGTCGCGCTGTTCCGCTAACATCCCGGACGGCCGTTTCCATAGTCACCAAGTCGCTGCTTGAGTGGCAGCTCTGAATGCCGTGAACGCCCCCCTAACTGCAAGGGTGTGCCCGGGGGAGGCCGCTGGAGCCCTGCTGACCGCCCCCTGCACACCACAACCGGACAGTGCATGCCTTCCTCACCGGCCAGCCGCCCTCCTCCTCCTCCCTCCTGGCAAAGGTTCTGCAAGCGCCTGAGTCCGGAAGCCAGGTTGCCACGGGGTTTGGGGGAGACCCAGCGCCCCAAAAGCCTGTCCCCCAAGGGGGCTGGGGCTCACGAGGATCCCGGGGAGTCCCAGCCGCCCGTAGCCCACAGCATTGGGACTCTGAGCATCCTCCAGGGCAGACTGGGGTCAGGGGTCATTAGTGCCCCGCTTGCAGATGGAGAAACTGAGTCACAGAAGAGCAAGTACTTTCCTCAAGGTTCCTCCGAGAGAAAGCGGAGCCCCAAGCCCGTGCCCTCACCCCGTGAGGCCCTGCACCCCACTTTCCACCCGTCTGCTCTCATGCACACAAGCTTGTCCATGTTTCACGGACACTGGGCAGGGCTGGGGTAGGTGGGTCCCACTCCCCCACTCCCCGCCCCCACTCCTCACTGTGAGTCCAAGAGCTGATGACCCGAGCTGAGGAACCGGGCTTGGGCCCAGGGATCCAGACCGTTGGCTCGTGGGGTCAGGCTCAACACTATGTCCAAGTGCTGCCGCGCTGGCATCACTGAGACCGACTCTCCCCGCCTGGCCACATAGCAGTGCTGTCAGTGTGCATCGGCCTGTCAGCATGCCAGCGCACGCATGCCCACGTGTTAGCACGTGCCCGCAATTGCATGCTAGCATGGATTAGCACTTGCACGCCCACACATCAGCATGTGCCAGCACACGTGTGGGCCCTGCCCTAACTTCCCCCTGAACACTTGGCCGACATGTAGTTTCAGAGGAACTCGGAGAGGGAGCAGAGACAGACAGACAGAGGGGATGGAGTGGTTGTGGCCCGGGGACTCGGGAACAGAAGCAGAGACAGAAGCTAAGGCTGCTAATCGCTGCGTCCAGGGGCTGGAGAAAGTGGGGGTGGGGGGACAGCAGTGACCTCCCCTCTTCTTCAACCCCCTTCTCTTTCTCCCTCTCCTCTATTCCTGTCTCTCCCTTTCTCCCCTATTCCTCTCAGGCCACAGCCTCGCAGATGCTCCGAAGGGCAGTGAAGGGGAGCAGGGCCCTTCCCTGGCATTTCACAGACACGCGGGGGATAGTGACCGAATCCGTTGTGAAAGCCTCTGGAGAGAGCAGCTGAGCTCTGTGAAAGGGGCGGCCCCAGGTGCTGCTCTCTGTGGGTTGCTGGGGGTCCTGAGGCAGAGAGAGCTGCCAGTGGGGGCTGAAAGGCCCGCTGTGCCTGCCCACAGCCCAGAGAAGCAGGGGTGGGAGCTGTCGTCCTGTCCTGAGCCGAGTCTGTCCGCACAGGTGTGGGTTGGTCGTGGCCAACTCTGGGCCATTGCCCAACCCACCCCACGCCTGCACTTGTGGGGCAGGACAGTCCCGCTGCCTCACTGAGCTGCAGCCCCTGGGGAACCCAGTGTGAGTCCAGCAGACCTTGACCCCAGCCCTAGCTTCTGGGCCCCTGGTGGTTGAGTGCCTGTGATGGGGGGAGGAGGGAGGGGGTAAGGGCAGAAACTCCCCTGGCACTCCCCGGGCTGCATAGAGGGGACTGCCCGACGCTCATAGCAGAGCAGCCCTGGGACACACCTCAGGCCCGCTCCCAGCGGAGCAAGGCCCAGGGAGGCACAAAGAAGGGGGAGTCAGAGACCGGGAGGGGAGGGGCGAGAGAAGAGGGAAGAGTTAGAGAGGGGAGGGGAGGGACGGGAGCCGAGGAGGGGGAGAGGAGAGGGAGGGGAGCTCTTCTCTGGGCCTCTCCTTCCCAAGTGAAGTCCGTCCAGGTGTACCTGCCCAGAGGTGTTTATGTGGCACCAAGGGTGAGGGCTGGCCAGGCTGTTTGAGCCCTGAATCACAGGCCCCTGCCTGGCCGTGATGGGGACACACAGGCGCTTCACAGTGACCGTAAGGCCCAGGAGCGAGGCCGCGGGCACCCAAAGGGCCCTGGGACACACGGGAGCTGCTGCCCCGGCTCTCTCCCGGGAACAGCGGTCTTGGAGGCAGCCCCGGACACGCATGACCCCCGTCCCCCAGGACACCTCGTACCTTCAAGGCACCGTGGCCACTTCCAGCTTCTCACGAGGCTCGGGGGTCCTGACCCGGCCCCTTCCGGCTCTCGGGTCAGCTGACCTCGCCCATGCCCACCCCAGGTAGGCTGTTTACCTGCGCGAGGGCGGGGCCAGGAGAGCGGCCGGGGGTGCGGGGAGCCCCCAGCTCTGTCCGCAAATGGCAAACCCCCAGGGGTGCGGAATGGGGTCGGCGTGGCGCCCCTCGGTCCCCAGCGTGCTGGGGGCAGCCCTCGGGAGGGTTGCGCTGCCGCTGGGCGCGGAGTGAGGGGTCAGCACCTCCTGCCCCTGTCCTGCCCCTACCTGGCATCAGGAGGGGCCCGAGAGTGCCCCAGGGTCTGCAGAAGGGGGTGAGGGTCCCGCAGGCTCCACACCCCGCTGGAGGTGGGCCCTGCGTCCTGGCACCGGGAAGGCCTGCCCTAGCGGATTCCGGGGTCCGGCCGGCCAAGACTGGGGACCGAGTGCCCTGGCGGCCCCTGGTGCGGGGCTGTGGAGCAGGGAGAGGGCAGGGCCAAGTGGGCATAGCAGAGGCCCCCCAAGGGCAATCCAGGAAGCTCCATGGAGGGGTGCTGTCTGCTGGGGGCCGGTCCCCTGTACCCCGCGGCTGGGGACACTGAGACAGGCCATCTTCTTCGCCCGTCCCCGCCCAGGAGGTGCCCCCGTCCGGTTCCCGCGCTCTGTGCCCGGCTCCGCCCTGGTCACCTGCCCAGGGCCGCCCAGGCCCGGCTGCAGCTCACACTGGGCAACTCGAAGGGTCTACAAACAGACAGCAAGACTGTGGTGCCACACCGCGTCTATTTGGGGGTCTGGTGGGCACAGGGACGAGGCCTCCTGCTCCCCCCTTCGGGGTGGGCGGCGGGAACTGGGGGTCCCGGGAGCGCCCGCCCGCATGGCTCTGCTCTAGGCAAGCAAAGAGATTCCGTCTGTGAAGAAAGAGCCGAGGGGCAACGCCCCCCACGCCCCGGCCTGCGGGGTCCGGTCCGTGAGCTTGGTCTGTGCTTGGGGTGGACACCGCTGCTCCCCCCCCAGGGTGCCCCGCCCCACTAAGGCTGACTGCGGCCACGGGGGTGCGGGGTCCTCCGCGCAACTTCCAGCCCGGAGTGTCCAGTCCTGGGTGAGGGGGCGTGGGGTCCCCGCGCGGCTTACGCGTGCCCCCACCACCCCGGCGGGGGTGCCGGCCGGGACGGACTCCCTGAAAAGGTCCCGACTCCTTCCAGAGTGGAGGTAAGAGGACGTTCTGGGGCGCAGGCCGGGAGGCGCGGGGTGGACCCGGAGAGGCGAGGCCGGCGTGCGCTCCTGCTCGTGGGAGCCCCCGGGTCCGGCGTGCAGATGCTTCCGCGTGCCCGGTCCTCGCGGCGACGCCTCCGGGGGCCCGTTCCTCCGGGCGACGCCTCCGGGGGCCCCTCCGGCCCCCACAGAGCCGTGGGCCTGGGTCCCGCAGCAGCGCGGGTGCAGCTAGATACTTAGATATATAAATATATATATGGGGACGGATATGCCCGATGCCGGCGCGGGGCGCCTCCTTTTTTTTGTCTTTTTTCTTTTTCAGTGTGGTCAGTGTAGCAGGCACTTAGTTCATGTGGAGATGTTCGTCGCGGACGCCGAGGCCGGGCGGCCGCCGCTAGCCCAGGATGTCCAGGTAGACGGGCGCGGCCTTGCCCAGCGCCTGCAGGATCTTGTAGATCTCCTTGATGTTGAGACGCTGCTGCGGCTCCCGCTGCCAGCACCCCAGCATCACGTCGTACACCTCCTTGGGGCACACGCGCGGCCGCTCCAGCACGCGGCCCTGCGTGATGCACTCGATGACCTGCGGGGAGGGTGGGTCACGGAGGGCGCCTCGGCCAGCCGCCTGCCCCTCGGCCCTGGCCCCGCCCCGGCCCCGCCCCTTCAACAGCAGGCTCCGCCCCTTCGCCCGCGCCCGCCCTGACCCCGCCCCTGCTTCCGGCTCCACCCATCCCATCGGCCCCGCCCCCCCTGCCCGCGCCCCGCCCTGTCCCCGCCCCTGCGCCCCGCCCTGTCCCCGCCCCTCCGCCCGCGCCCTGCCCTGGCCCCGACCCCACCGCCGGCCCCGCCCCTTCAACAGCAGGCTCCGCCCCTTCGCCCGCGCCCGCCCTGACCCCGCCCCTGCCTCCGGCTCCACCCCTCCCATCGGCCCCGCCCCCCCTGCCCGCGCCCCGCCCTGTCCCCGCCCCCCCGCCCGCGCCCTGCCCCGGCCCCGCCCCTTCAACAGCAGGCTCCGCCCCTTCGCCCGAGCCCCGCCCTGACCCCGCCCCTGCCTCCGGCTCCGCCCCTCCACCCACGCTCCGCCCCTGCCATCGGCCCCGCCCCCCTGCCCGCGCCCCACCCTGTCCCCGCCCCTCCGCCCGCGCCCCGCCCGCGCCCCGCCTCCACCGCCGGCCCCGCCCCTCCACTCGCGCTCCGCCCCTGCCATCGGCCCCCGCCGTCCGCCCGCGCCCCGCCCTGACCCCGCCCCTGCCTCCGGCTCCACCCCTCCACCCGCGCTCTGCCCCTGCCATGAGCCCAGCCCCTCTGCCCGCGCCCTGCCCTGGCCCCGCCCCTTCGCCCGCGCCCCGCCCTGACCCCGCCCCTGCCTCCGGCTCCGCCCCTCCACCCGCGCCCCGCCCCTGCCATCGGCCCCGCCCCCTGCCCTGGTCCCGCCCTGGCCCCGCCCCCACCGCCGGCCCCGCCCCTTCAACAGCAGGCTCCTCCCCTTCGCCCGCGCCCCGCCCTGACCCCGCCCCTGCCTCCGGCTCCGCCCCTCCATCCGTGCTCCGCCCCTGCCATCGGCCCCGCCCCCTACCCGCGCCCCGCCCTGTCCCCGCCCCTCCGCCCGCGACCTGCCCTGACCCTGACTCTGCCTCCGGCTCCGCCCTTCCACCCGCGCCCCGCCCCTGCCATCGGCCCCCGCCCCCTGCCCTGGTCCCGCCCTGGCCCCGCCCCTCCGCCCGCCCTTCCCTGGCCCCGCCCCCACCGCTGGCCCCGCCCCTCCGCCCGCCCCCGGCCCCTTCTCCCCGCCCCCGGCCCCGCCCACACCTCGGTGTTGGACAGCTGGAACCAAGGCTGCTTCCCGTAGGTGAAGATCTCCCAGAGGATCACCCCGAAGCTCCACACATCGCTCTCTGTGGTGAACTTGCGGTACATGATGCTCTCTGGGGGCATCCAGCGAATCGGGAGCATGGTGTGGCCTCCCACCTGGTGGGGGGAGACGGGCACGGTGACCCCCGATGTGCTTTCTCCTATGCCAGCCACGGGGGGTGGGGCGGGTCCCAGGCGGCCCCAGGGAAAGCGGGATGCAGGAAACACCCAGAAAGAGTCGGGGCAGAAGTCAGTCTCCTGCGTTTGGGGGCAGCCCGGGGGTCACCGAGCCTGCTCAGTGCCTGCTGGGACCCCAGCTTGTGGGCACCTCATCTGCTCCAGGAAAATTCTGGCAGCGCCCAGGACGCTGCAGCCCAGGGAGGTCCTGAGGGCGGGGCACAGGGGTGCCATGGGTAGGACTCAGGGGTCCTATGGTTAGGGCACAGGTGCGCCAGGAGCAGGGCACACAGGCGCCAGGGGCAGGGCACAAGGGTGCTGGGCCAGGGCACAGGGGTTCCAGGGCAGGGCACAGGGGTCCTATGGGCAGTGCACAGGGGTGCCACGGGCAGGGCGGAGCAGTGTGGAGAAGGCGGGAGCCAGGTGATCCCGGTCTTGCAGAAGCGTCTTCAAGGATCCTCAGAAGGACACAGGCTCAGAGGTCTGCCAGCTGGGGCCAGCGGGGCACCCGTCTGGGTGGGAACCCCACAGCTGGTCTCAGGGCTGGATTACCGTCCAGGTGGGCACTGTGAGCTTGGCCGTGGGGTCTGTGGGTAGGGCACCGCTGACCGCGGTCAAGGGCGCTCGGGGATGTCCTCATGGACTCGTCTCCGTGGCCGCCCGTGGCAGAAATGAACACCCACAACGCTTGGGCAAGATGCTCATGGGGACAGTCACTTCTGAGAGCGGGTGGTGCTGGTCTCCTCCGTCTGAAGCCTTTTACCAGGCGAATGATCGCACAGACATGAGGAAACTGCCTTCCACGGGGGGTCTGGGATGGGGGGGGGGTGCGGTTAGAATCAAGACAGTCGGAGACAAATGAAAGTTCTTTGGCACCCGAACAGACGCAGAAAGTTCCCCTCTCAGCCCTGCCGAAGACAAGAAGCGAGAAGCCACGGGGTGGGGGTGGGGGATACTATTCAAGAGAAGGAAGAGAGTATCTACCCCCCAAACACATGCTCAGGGCTAAGATACGCAAGGGCTGAGAGAACAGGCCGCAGAGAGACAGAGCCGGCCGGGCAGGGCATGACTGACATGGTGACAGGAGAGAGGCGGCAGGTGAGAACAGCCACCGTGAAATCAAGACCGGCTGAATACTGGCCCGGAGGCCGCTGAGGACAGGCACCCTGACTCCTCTCAGTACCCTCTGCCTGGAAGCTTCCAGACTGTTCCAGCAGAAAGCCGAGAGAGAGCAGATAAAGAAGCAGTCAGAGGTCCGAGAAGGGGGTTTGTCCTGAGGAGGTGGAATCACTAACGGAGGGTCAGCGATTGTAGAGAGGAGCGGGGAGGTAAACACACCTGCTAACATTTAAAAGTGGTTTCTAGAAGAAGGGGGGGGTACATGTGATTTCCAAATCAACTTTAGGAAAGCAGAGCCCCCAAATCTCTCACCAGTACCCTGAGCCCACCCCCCCAAAAAAAAACAACCAGTCAAAGTACTACTAGGATACAGATCAAGATGAAAAGAAAGCTGGAGAAAGAGGCTGAATTAATCTCACCAGGCCCGATCGACAAGGAAGAATCTCATTCCTTTGGAGGAAGCGCGAGATCTGCCTCAGAAATCAAAATATGTGCCGGTTAGATGGAGCACCGAGCAGCAGACAGCACTGGGGGTGAGAGGAATGCAAGGAGCAGAACCCAGAGAGGAACTCACACTGGCAAAAGTGAAACAGGCACAGAGGGGCTTGAGTTGGAACAAAATTAGCTCCAAATTAATTGGACTCGCCAACGGAGCACTGGGACACGTTGTATCTTTTTTGGAAAATGCCTAAAAGCCAGAGATTTTCTTTCCCCCAAAAAATACTTGAGCTCAGAGCCAGTGCTACACTGGGGAAGGCATTTGCCTTGCACCTGGTCAATCTGGGTTCTATCCCCAGCATACCACAGGACCCACCGAGCCCACCAGAAGTGATCCCTGAGCACAGAGCCAGGAGTAAGCACTGAGTACTACTAGATGTGACCCCTCCCTCACAAAAATACTTTAGCTCTATTTCATAAATTTTGATGCACAGGGCTTTCGTCATTATTATAACAAAGTATTTTACATTTTGTAAATGTGAATTGCCCAAAGAGAACCTTCTAGAAATCATTCTCGGTGTAATTTTCCATATCATTTCTTGTTCCTTCTGCTCTTTTTTCTCTTTTTCCGTTTTTTGTTTTTTTTTTTTTTTGTTTTTTTTTGTAAAGAGGAGAAAGAGCTGAGGAAAGGGATCGCAGGTACAGCTCGATCATGGCACAGACTCTCCCTCCACAAACCAATCAAGAAGGCCTTCCTAGAGTGACATCATTATTTTAATTTGTTTGTTTGTTTCTTTGTTTGGGCACAGTGGCAGTGTTCGGGAATGACTCCTGACTCTGCATTCAGGGATCATTGTGGGGATCAAACCCGGGTTGCCATGTATAAGGCAGGCACTCTCCCCACTGTCCAGTCTCTCTGGCCACTGTACATATGTTTTTAAAATGCAAATAGGGAATTTTAATGGATTGATGAGGGTTGTGGTTACACATGCCTTTCAGCCTTTAGAGATTTTTCACAGTATTTTCAGTTGTATCTTTAAAAAATACTTAAATGCAATCACATATCTGATTTCAAAGAAACTCTGGAATCACAGGGAAATAAAAGTAGGAGCCGGAGCAGTAGTACAGCAAGAGGGCAGTTGCCTTGCACAAGGCCTACCTGGGTTTAATCCCTGGCACCCCCACCGCGTTCTCAAGCACTGCCAGGAGTAACCCCTGAGCATCACCAGGTATGGGGGGAAAAAAAGGAAAAAGAGAAAAAAGAGCAGAAATAACAAGAAATGATATGGAAAAATTACACCGAGAATAATTTCTAGAAGGTTCTCTTTGGGCAGTTCACAAGACTATTGGATAAAGAATGTTATTGAAGATAAAATGTAAAATTTGTTATAATAATGATGAAATCCCTGTGCATCAAAATTTATGAAATAGAGCTAAAGTATTTTTGTGAGGGAGGGGTCACATCTAGTAGTACTCAGTGCTTACTCCTGGCTCTGTACTCAGGGATCACTTCTGGTGGGCTCGGTGGGCCCTATGGTATGCTGGGGATAGAACCCAGATTGACCAGGTGCAAGGCAAATGCCTTCCCTAGTGTAGCACTGGCTCTGAGCTCAAGTATTTTTTGGGGGAAAAGAAAATATCTGGCTTTTAGGCATTTTCCAAAAAGATACAAAGTGAAAAAATTTAAAGTTGCTATCTTATGAAAAGATTACTTTTCCTCTCTCTTCTCGCCGTTAGTAAGTTAAATGGTTGTGCTAAGGCTGCGATGCTATTGAGGTTCTGATATAAGCGGCTGCATTAGATAAGGCTCAACAGAGACAGCAAAACCCTCAAGACAAACGAATATAAAGCGAGAGGAAATAAATAATGAAGATTAAGGAGGAATTCGCAGAAGCCAGAGCAAAGCAAAAAGCCAAAGCAGACAAACACGTTCTCTGAGGGTGGAAGATCCCTGATAAAGCCAGGATGGTGACGCCTGTCCACAACAGGGGCCAGGCAGACTCTGCTCTTTTCGTTTTGGCTGTGAACCAAAGAATTCTCTTTAAAAAAAAAAAAGTCTACCTTAAAAATAATATAACGAATTTACAGGTAGAGATGTGACCACTGATTTGTTAAAGGATCAACAGGAACTACAGGGGGTGAGGGGAGCATACCCAGCGATGCTCAGGGCTGACTCCTGGCTCTGCTCTCAGGGGTCATGCCTGGTGGGGCTTTGGGGACCCTGTGGGTGCCAGGGATGGAACCCGGGTCAGCTGCATGCAAGGCAAATATACTCTCTGCTGTGTTCTCTCTCAAGCTTTTCATAACACCCGTAATTTTACAAAAAGTAAAAAAAAAAAAATTTTTCCTAAGCCATACTCTATGGTTTCAATGAACCTGATGTGAAAATCCATAATACATAAATACAGAGAACGTTATTTTGCCTATTATGTACAAAACTAGCCATTATGGGGCTGTAGTGATTCCTGATTGCAGAGAGTGGAGTAGCCATGAGCATTGCCAGGTATGGCTCCCAAGCAAAATAAGTAAAAAGATGCCCCAAATTTCCGATATCTTTTGCTAAGTTCCCTCATTTGTGAGGAAAAAAAAGATGTGCTAAATTTATTTATTACATTAGAAGGATGGAAGTTATCTTTTATCACCCATTTTATTGCAATGCTATTCAGGCCATTCATAGTCACTGCAATAGAACCAGAATAAAAATAAACACTGAAAATGAAGAACCAAAAGGATGATTTTCTATGTAGGACATTCCTCTTCAAGATAATTAGAAGCCATTAGAACCAATACATGATTTAGTGAAATTGCTTAGATAGGAAATGAACGCGCAAAAATCAAACCACTCTCAAACAACAAGAGCAACAACTTCAAATTTTTTTTAAAAAAAAGAGATAGATCATTTGTACAAGAGCATCAAAAAAAACACAAAAGATTTCCTAGGAACAAATCTGAGCATAAAATACACATGATCTATTTAAAGAATAATGTAAAGATTCAAGTGCATGCAAAGATCAGACTTTTTCTTGGGTAGGAAAATATCTGCTATAATAAAATCTCCCTCAAATTAATCTCAAAATTCAACACCTGAATGAAAGTCCCCATGGAACAGGTATGGAAACTAAAGTTGAAGAGCCAAATTCATCGACGAAGAGAAAATACTTGATGAGCATAAAATATGTTTGAACAGAACAAGAGATTTGTTCCATCAATCACAAAACAAGTAATCAAACTACAGGAAAAAACACATTGTGTTACTGGCAGAGAAAGAAACAAAACTCCACTGATCAATGGAACAAACTAGAGCCCCACAGTAGACCCAGGGAGAAATACTAGAATTTAATACATGAAATGATTGGTTAGTAATCAAGTATTGGGACAATGAA